CCAGGCAACTTGCTAGGGCAGCTGCAATACTGCTGCACTACAGTTACTGCTAAAACCACATAAAACAGCATTATGTTAAACTCACACAAGAGAGTTTAGAAGCAAGAGTTCTGACTTTCCTAAGTCACTGAAATGTACAAGTGTACAACTGAACTTACACAAGACAGCTGAGGTCTGCCAAGTCATCAATGAAGTCAAACAATTGGCTGATATCATATGTAATGGATGGACTGTTGGGATTCATTCTCTTCAGATGCTCTTCATACATTTTACAGACTCCTACAGAGAAACAAGATTAACAATGCAGTATTAAAAAACTGTATTTAGCTGAAACTTTTTCAGCTCTTGATCCACAAATAAAAGTTTAGAGATTACCACCATAAGAACAATCAAATTTTCTAGAGCTGAAAGTCTTTTGTTCCTAGCAATTTGCATTGACATATAATACTATAAAATCAGGTAGGATGCATGGAAAGCAAAGTTTTCATCATCTAGGGGAAAAAGTTTTAGTTCTGTCAAATACATAACTTTCCATGCAGTAAGCTCCAAGGAACATCTGAAACTCCTAATAATTTTAAGACTGCAATTAGAACATATATTCCTACTGCACAAACACATGAGAAATAGAAGAACTCATAAGAATGATCATTCTTGATCCAAGAGTCAAACAGGGTATTGAGGGAAGAGTGAGAGCACAAACCTGTATATACATTTAAAGCATTTTTATTTATTTAAACTAGTCCACTAATAGTTCAGATACATTTGAGAAGAATGTCATATTAAAATGAGCACAGAGATTTTACATTGTCTTTGTTATACTCTGCCTCTCAAAACCTCCTGCAAGATTAATGTTAAGTAAATATTTCAATCTTCTTTCCATGCTCATTATGTGTATCAAAGTTTTGCAGGATCTTTACTCTGGCACGTGTGCCATGAGACTGCAAATTATGTATTAATTGCACATAGTCCTTTATTTAATATATTATTTCCAGTAGTAATCTTTGCCTTACAGTGCTAAGAAAACAATAGTGAGAATTAAGTGCTGATCCTGCAATAAAATGCATTGAAACAAGTCTGCATAGTGCCAGAAAGAATATTGTCTACTCTCCCAGACTGGATGTGGCTTCACCTAGTTAAATCAAAACCAGACATTTAATTCAAAAAGGAAGTTTTAGAAACAAATAATAACTAGTTTTTAGTTTGCTAGAACATTAGTAAGCTAAAAGCATGAGTTTTTTCTTTTTTGTCAATTACCTTTGAAAAACATGAAGAGCAACTTATTTTCTTATTAAGTTTGTGAATATGTCAAAAATAGGATTTTAACAACAGTTTTTAACTCCCATGTCTGCATCCACCCACCTTCCATGCACTCATTCACCGATTCATAATCAGCATATGTTCTGCCTTCTGGCCTCTTGGTAGGCTGGACAAGTAGAATTGTGTGAGACTGGAAAACAAAACAACACAAAAATACAGGTTATTTACAGGCTTTGAATGATTTTTGTTTGAATTAAGTTATTTATATGAAAGAATGAGTAAAAAGAAGTATAATAGTAAAATATTAGATTAACAATCAAGGACACAGATATTTTCTACACAGCATTTACTATTTATATAAGCTGTGTTAATAAGTTCTGTTTTCAACAAATCCTGTCAATCCTTACGGAACTTTACAATGTGTAAAATCACCAATAAAGTAGCTGTTGTGTTGAAAAAAAATACCACAGAAATAGTTTCTACTTAGACAAGCAAAGCAAGAAAGTCAATGTATAGGAGCTGTGGCATTAGCGCATTTACTTATTTCATTCCAAATGCAAGCTGTTAGTAAAATTTTCAATGCCCCGATTAAAGAGCAAGGAGGGGACCCAACTTAACCATATTGTCTGTCTCACCTGAAAAATTTTAACAGAAATAGCTATTTTGAGCTATCCACTTAACTTGAAGGGAACACCAATGATACAATAAATCTTCACTTAGCATTCAAGATTATTTCTTGTAAAACAGATGTACTGGTTTTTTACACTACAGTGAGTTTACTTAAATAGTAATTATGGCACAGAAAACTGTTCCAAATGTTGGAGTCCATAAGCTTGCTCTTCTGCAGGGAAGGCTTAGATGATTGTACACTCTGTGGCTTCCATTATTTCCATAACATTTTTCACTTGGCTACAGCAAGTAATTTGAGCAAACAAGATTTTTAAAGTGTACACAATCTGTGATCTAATTAACAGGTTGCATACCACAGAAAGTTTGCAAGCATGCTGCAAATGGCCGTTTCCAGTGCTGCTAATTGGATCCAACAGTTTCAGTGCTAATATATGAGGTGAGCACACAACATAGAGGCAACTGCAGGGTAAGACATTATTTGGCTCAGATTAATCGGACAGAAAAATCCTGACCCATATTTTGGAAATCAGTGAAGATACCAGTTCAATGCTCATGAAAAGCAGTGACAGAAAAGAGAAATGGTAAATGTTAGGATTTACAGAATAAAAAAAAAAAAGCCAGGAAGAATTCTTATCCCACAGCTCTGTTTCCATCCTTGGAGTACTGTTTTCAGTTCTTTAAATTGTCTCAACACAGAAGCAGCAGATTCTGAGAAGTTCAGGAAAATGTTACACAGAGAAAAAGAAGGAACAAGACTTTTCCTAATCAGAAATGGAAAAAAGGCTGAGAGCTGCACATTTTAACAATAAAAATCATACAAAGGAGAGTAGATCATTTAAATCCACTTTCATGTATGCCAGAGGATGATTGATTTGAAGGGAATTCCCCAAGCAGGGGGCTGGTATCTGGCTGCTCCTAAGTGCATTGTACTTGAACAGGCATGTCTTAGCAGGGAGTCCAAATAACTACCAAAGATTATCATAAAATAATTTTTCCAGCACTATCATTTTAATTAGATGGTCACTGAGGAGCACAAAATGAATGTATAAATTCTGAAATTACCTAAACAATCAGATTATAGAAAAATCAGTGAACCAGACATGTAAGCCAGTTCTGAAAGAACTTCACAGCAGAAATCATTTGGGCTTCTGACTTTAAGCCATTTATCACTTCAGACACTATACAAAATCCATTACCAGATACTGGCCCAGAAAAATATTAAAATGAATGCTACTGGATCACACGTATTGTAGAACTAATGCTTTTCAAAGATTTATTTGGGAACTTGACATTATTTTACTTTAAAGGAAAAAAGGTTGTTTGATTTGACAAAATTGCTGGTCCTGTCCTACCACATAGGTACAAAAAAATGACAAGTTCAGAAGCTTGAGGGAAGTCTCCAACTATTATTACCTGCCCCTGTGCCTAGATGACAAAACCAAAACAAGGGAAGATCCATAAACCTTTCTGCATTAGCACCAGGTTACCTGGAGAAGCCCAACATGGACCTTTATTATTATGATGCATATGTGGCATTATTTGTATTTTCCTTAAAAGCACAGTTATAATGGCGGTTTTTAAGCAGGACACGGAATGAGACACCACATGGTTTATATTATACCGATTTTGAACTTCTAAAAGCACTTTAGAAATTGCTCCTGTTACTGAAGGCAGAACCCTGTAAAACTGGTTAAGGCAGTGCCAAGAGCCAAACCAGCAGGACTTAAAAGCTATGCAGCATCTGACCAAAGAAGCTTCCACCAATTGTAGTGTATTTGACAATAAAGCGTGGAAAAAAAACCAAAAAAAACTCCCGAACAAAAAAAGTGGAAGATAAACACATACTGTAAGGGTAAGATGTACAGCGATGCAAATATCAACCAGCAGCACACTGCACACACCTAAATACCAGGGAGAAGAAGTGGTCCAAGGACCACCTTTCATTCTGGCCAACAGGGACAGGGCTTGTGCTGCTCATCATGGCCGAAACCAACTGCATTGGAGCAAGACATGGAACTTCGCTGCAAAGCGACAAGCAACTGTCCTCCCACCGCGCGGCAACAACTTGCTCCAGCACATCTTAATTTATTAGATGAACGCAACAAACAACGGTGATACGGAGGCCTTTGAGCTTCAGCGTGCCATTCCCAGAGCCCACCAACGCAAGCTCCCGCCTTTCCCTCCTCCGAGCAGAGGGGAGGAGCAGGAAAAGCAGCATGGAAAGCGCAGATCAGCCATTTAAGGCCGGCTCGCTCAACGAGAGAGACTCGCGGGAAAGCGCTGCGGTTCCAGCACCGCCCTGAGAAAGGCCCGAAGCTGCCGGGGACAGGGACGGAGCCCCCAGCGCACCGCTCCCCGAGCGCCGCCGCCACCGCTGCCTTTGTGCCCCTGCCCCGCCAAAACGTGCTGCCGCCCGCCCGGGCCCGCACCACCGACCGCAGCCTTCCCGCCCGCAGTGACCCGGGGTGCAGGGAGAGGAGGGAAGGGAAGGCTGCCCTGGCGGGCGCGGTGTGCGCATAGCCCGGCCGTCCCGTCCAGTCCCGTTCTCACCATGGCGGCTCCGCTCCTTCAGCACCGCCGGGCAGAAGTGGCGCGCGGCGATCCCCCACAGGCCCCCGCGCCCGCCGGAAGCGCCGCCGCGCCAACGGCCGCCACCATAGAGCCGCTCGCGCCAGAGCGCCGCGCGCACGCGCCCGCAGGGCCGCCGGCCAGGCTGGCGGGGGCGGGGCGCGGCCGCCGCCATCTTTGGTGAGGGAGCCGCTCGTGGCCCGTCGGGGCCGAGGCCCCGCCCGCCATCTTGGAGTCGGGCAGCGCGCGGGGCGCGGCCCGGCCCGGAAGGGGAAGCGTTGAGGTGCCACTTGGCCGCCGGGGCAGCGGCCGTGGGTGCGGGGTGGGAGCGCTGGTCCCGCACGGTCCCCTCGGCCCCGTCTGAGGCTGCCGGGCCGTGAGGAGCCGCCTGCGTGCTCGCTGTCCCCCAGCCCTCCCTCCCGCCTTCCCTGGGAGCAGCGCGGTGCGGGTGAAAGTTTCCCCGCCTCAGGTGAGGGCCGGGCCCGCCTGCCGGTCGCCGAGCCACTCCCGCCCCCTGGCCGCGCACCCCTGGCTGGGGGCCGAGCCGGCCGCTGCCGCCGAGCGAGAGAGACATGGCTAAAAGCCTCTCCTGGGAACTCGGTGTCTGCACGGGTTAAGGCGTGTGGTGGGTGAGGTGGAAAAGTTGCTGTTGGATTTCACTTCAAGGGACCGCACAGAAAGCGGCGAAATGGATGACTTCCCCTCCATCTGCCTGCTGTCCCTGGCCATGCTGGTCGCCTGCTATGTGGCAGGAATTATACCCTTAGCAGTTAATTTTTCTGAGGTAAGACGACTCCGCCAAACTGCTCGTTGGTTGCTAATGGAGAAACCAGAGAGAGCTCCCGGTGGGAGCTGGTGCCGTCCCCTTGGAATACGGCAAGGCTTTTAAGGATGAAGCTTTATCTTTAAAAGTTATGAGGGCAATATTAATTTTCATTCAAAATTGCTGTGTAAAATTATGCTTGTTTCATAGTGGCCATTTAAACTTGTTAGACTTGAGTCGAGTCTCTGCTAAAGGTGAAGGGAAGTCTCAGTATGTAGTGTAAGGACATGAATAAGCATGGCTATTCTTAGAAGCTTGTGTAAGAAATTGCTGGAGTCGGTGATTATCTCTTATTTGCCTGTGGGCCACTCAAATTAAGGCTTTTGAAAACAATTCCAAGAATATTCTCGGGAAAAACTTGGATTCACTGAAATTTTGCTCACAGATTCTTGATACTTGAGGGGTTTGTCTCTGTCTAAATGATGGTTATTGTATAGAGGTATGGTGTAGCGAGAGTTTCGTTGTTCTGAGGTAGTGAGACCGCTCTCATGAGGGGTTCCCATTTCTCTTGGAAGTAGTGCTACTTTTGGGAAGCGAGGTGCTGGAGGAGAAATGTGCCCTTGTCTTCCATCAAGTCAGAGAGCTGCTTGCACCTGTCCTTGGTCCCATCATTAGTAGGAGGCTTCGGGAGCAGTAGAGCCTGAGCAGCACGGAAGGGAAAGGCCGTTCACTTTAGGAAAGGTATAACTCAGCTGAATGAATTGAAACCTAACAGTGCATTCGGGCATCTTCACATGAACATCAGCAGTTTGGTTTTGCCAGTGCTTCATCGATGCTTTGGTGGACTTTGCCTTATGTATCTTGAGTGTTGCTTCCACTATGTTGCTCTTCAAAACTCACTTCTGCCCTGAGGCCCACAGAGGGTTTTCTTGTAAATTTGTTGAGAGCACTGCCTCGTGTGCTAATATTGTCTCTTTTTAAATTTAATTTTACGTTTTGTCGTGTATGTGCTATAGTCACCTGTTAACTCTTAACTTACATTCAGTGTTGTTTGAAATTAAGGTTCTTGATCTGTCCCTGTTTTCTCTGTGTAGTTGAATCAGTGGTCTCCTAAACCTTTCAAAGCTTCCAGCAGCTGCAGGAATACAGATCTGTTGTAGATCCCAAACTGCCTAACCAGTAACCATGTACTTAATTAGCCTTTTGTGTGTGCGGTATTTTATCATCAGCATGCAATGTGCAGTCAAGTTTACTGTGGTATCTTAAGCTCTCAGAAATTCTTGACTTGGTTTTACACTTGATTTAAATCTTAGATATTTTTTGAGGGTTTTCATGCAGTGCTGGTTAAAGAGAGCAGAATATCTCTGCACATGATGTACAAATCCTAGCTAATCCTGGAAGTGTCTAATTAGAAGTCATATTTGTTTAGTTGAAAATTATTGCTTAGAATTCTGCAACAAAGAGAATTTCAAACTGAAAGGACTGTTTGAACAATCCATTCTATTGTTTGCAAAAAGTTTTGCAGATAGCCAAAGTGAGTAAAAATGCCTCTTCCCACTGGCCATTTGTAATGATTGAGTTGAAAACAAAAGTGAATGCTGTGCATAATATACCCCAGATTTTGGAGAACAATAAAATTATTCATTAATGTTAACACATTCCTTCAGATTATTTTTTGCCATGAAATTTATTATTTGTGTTCTAATCTCAAGCTGTGTTCTATTGTTTCAATTAGATTAGAATATTCTTGAAAGTATAAAACTCTGGGAAAAGCCAGGTATGACTAAACATGAATGGTGGTAAAAGGTACCAACCGAACAGAGCTTTGCCTTAGTTCTGTGTGCAGAGTTACCCTTTCACTTTAATCCTAGTTTACAGGACTCTGTTGATCTGATTTAGGGCTGGAAACAGCACTCCACCAGCTCTGAGGCCATCTCTTAAACTGTAGTCTAAATGCAGGAAAAAAAAAAAAAGTAGTTGTAGTAGTTCGAATGTTTTGGTGGTGTAACAGAGGCAGTAACTGGGGCCACTTCCTGAAACCAGTTGTGAGTTTTTGATAGGTCCAAGTAAGAGTTTCAATGACATACAGATTTTTAAAAATATTGAGCAGTGAACGGTTTGCTAATTTGAGGAATTTGAGATTTTTCCTATGGTGTTTTACCTCTGCTTACTGTGTTGCTCTTGTTTTTTAACATGCAGATTTATTTAACAGAAGTGGTTTGATTTATTGGATAAAACTGTATTCCTTTTGCCTATGTAGGCTGTTCTTATTAAATTTCTGTATTCACCACACGTAATTATTTTGTACTGAAAAGGAGATGGAGACCTACCTTGAAATGATAACTTGTTAGTGTGTATTTTTTTTCATGGACCTTTAAAATTCACAAGTGCCCAAGTGAAGGCAAGCTATTCTATGTATTTGCAGTTGTAATAAATCAGTATTACTTCTGACACTTTCCTTTGTGTTTATGTGTGTATGCAAAAAATACTATAGTGTTGTAGATAAAAATAATGGTTTTTTCCTTGCATGGTACTATATTTTTGCAGAATTACTTTATGAACAGCAGATGTTGAAAATTTATTTTCTCATGTAGATTGCCACTGCGTGACAATTCACCGAGTATAATTATTGTATCTGGTAGTATACAATGCGTGTTTGTGGGAACTTTACACTTGTTTTCATCTCTTGCATGTTACTGTTGGAGTTTTCCCCGGTAATGCTGCAGTTGTTCCCTTATGGTCACATCTGGCTTGCTTTCAGGAAGCTGCTTGTGCATCTCCCTAGTGTCTCCTGCTTCTTCTGTGCAAGTGTTGCCCATTGTGGTGAGACTGAACAATTTGTGTGGTTACAGGGCATGAAGGAGAATGGATGGCATAATGGATATGCAACAAGAGGTTTCCTGTTACTCAAATGCTGACCTCTATCTCTAAGTCCTCAGTAGTTAACATTAGTGTTTTGGTAGTGCTCAGACTTCTCATTGAACGTGGAAGATGATGGTTGTGCTACACAATTGTTAGGAGGATCTAAACTCCCATGGTTGCTACATGTTATATGACAGGGGTTCTTACAGAAATTATGAGTAATGGCCTCTGCAAACTGTCCTATTTTAGATCTTATTATATGTTTATGTAATTGGATTTTTAGTACGTGGCTTTGACTTTAGCCTGTCAATGTAGTCACAAGGAAGTGAATTGGTGAATTTATTGGTGAGTCAGAATGTAATTAGTTTGGGAGGAAGATATCTCTAAGCTTTTTGCCCCAAACTAGAATATAACTAGGAAGGAAGATAACTCTACTAGTAGCAAGTACTGAAAAACTGTGTATGGTTTTTATTTTTGTTATAGAAATTCTTCCAAAAATATTGCTGAAACGATTATTCTTTACTATAAAAAATTAGGTTTATGTATTGTTGTTAAGGTTTAATTGCAAATTTTCAATATTTATATATATGTAACAAGTAATTCCCTTCCCAACCTGTTTTAATAAGGCAGAGTAAAGAAAGCATTTTCATTCTTAAACGTGATATTTGTTTTGTATTTACTTGCAGGAGAGATTGAAGTTGGTGACTGTTCTGGGTGCTGGGCTGCTGTGTGGAACTGCCTTGGCTGTCATTGTACCAGAAGGAGTACATGCACTTTATGAAGACATTTTGGAGGGTAAGAACCAAAGCCAGATGGCCTCGTTCAAGATAACTTAGTTCATGTTGTGTTACAATATACTGAGGCTTCTTTTGGGTTTAACGTGAGATTGATGAAAGAGCTTCACAGTTTTAAATAGCCAGGGCTCATCCCCTCTGTTTGGAGTGCACTCTGAATTTTGGTTTTGCTTGGAGACTTGTGCTGTTAGATGACCATTGTGTGTATGAGATTCTTCCAGTCTGCTCAGAATCAAAACTTTGAAGGAAAACAAAGGCAATGGCTTACTGATTGCAGGAGAAGGCACTATAAAGTTGAGGCTGTAGAGAGCCTTGCAAGCATCTGGTGTACAGTTGTTGCTAATCTGGGATTAAGAGGTAACTGTAGTCCTTTGCTTTTCCTGTAGTACTGGGTTTTGTTTCTAAACTTTTAAATTTCATTTTTGTAATATGCTTTAATGTATACTCTTTTAGCTTCCACTAAATTTATGATTTTCTGCTTAGATTTAGAATAAATAGAAGATAATATATAAAATCATCCTTTATCAAGAAGTGAAAGAAGATTTGATTATGCTTTTATACTGTTCTGTAGTTTGTGCACTCTGATGTTGGATGTCTGTAATGAGCTGTAGTTGTGGGTTTGCTCTCCATTCAATTTTTATTCTGAGTAGGCTGATTTTCTCTTGTAATGGTACAGCTAGCAATGAATACAATTGCTGTGAACATTTGTGGGGTTTAGTACTTTTTCACTAAATGGGGCATACTGTTCATGTATGACTCAACAGCTTGCTGTGTTGAGCTGTATGGGCAATAACTTTGTTCAGTTTATGGCAAAAAAAGACACTTCCCAGTACTACAGTAGTAATAGCAGAAGTATTTCCCTTGGAAAAAAGAATTTCTGTGAATGGCTTCAGGCTCAATGTCTAACTCACAGTATTGTGCCTAACAACAGTGTAGCTGAAATTTTTTTTTTATATATATATTGTGAAGGGGCAGAATTAATGTGTATTACAGATTTAAATACAAAAATTATTTCTAATACTTTTCTTAGAAAAATAGGATATTCAAAATTAAACTTAAGACTATGAGAACTTTCTCTTTTTTTTTCAAGTTCATCTATTTACATAATTAAACCTTGAAAGGTGCAACTGAGGGAAACATTGAGGTATATTCACAGAAGTGGAAAAACAAAAAGAGAAATCTTTATTTAGCTTCTTTCAGGTGCAGCTTAACTGACTGGTTGCCTGCTGACAAGCATTTTACTGTTTTCCATTGATACAGAAGTAATTTACTGTTACTTCTGTATTTACCCACAGGCCATGGAATAAATAACTTCTAATTTTCAACCTTGTAGGCTGAGAGCAAATAGCGTATCATGACTCGGATTATTCTTTGATGATAAACCTGCGTATCTGTATAGTGAAACCTTGGTTTGGGTACTACCAGCAAATAAAATTCCTTTGCTGACTTCAGTCCTTTGTTTTAACTGCTGAAACTGTATAACTGCTGTCAGAAAGATTGCCCTGAGTTACACAGTTTTATGACTTGAAATGATCTGAAGCAAAGTCAATTTCATAATATAGATGGCAAAAATCTTGTGTGGTTTAATTTTATTGATAATCTTGTTCAGCAAAGATATGTTTGAAATCTTTGCTACCAAGGTTATTCTGATGTGCTTTGACTGTAGTAATGGTATTGTGACATTTTGTACAGTAGGATGAACATACACTTGTCTCATCCAATGGGATGTATGAATAATCCAGCAAGACAATGACTTGCTGGAGTAAGTCAAATTCCTGGTATAAGTTTTTAAAGCTTCTGAAGAGTAGTTGCCATCCAAAAGACCTTCTAAAAATGAAAAAAACATGGACAAGCTTTAATAGCTTGTGTAGGGAAAGGAGACCACACGTCATTCATCCCCAGAGCTTTGACTTTGGGTTTCTGGGATGGTACTGACATTTGTTGGTCAGTGTGCTTGACTTAACTATTGTTGTAGTCCATGCCAATGGAGTATATCAATACTAGCTTGTTTATACCTCAGCATCAGTTAATCGTCTTAAAAATGGTATTAACTGTTTTAGTGGATGGAACTTGTTTTATCTCCTCCTGTCTTTTCTCACTTAAATGAAGATAATGCAGTAACTGCTTGACAGCATCTCTGAATATTGACAAATCTGGCAACTTCAATTAAAGAAGGAATTATACAGCAATTTTTGTGAATCAATTTGTATTTAAAATGCAACCTGGCTTATAACATATTAATGCTTTCTTTGCTTTTCCATGCTGAGGATGTATGAGAAGAAACCAACCAGGCTTTACTAGGACCATTATCTAAGAAAGACCTTAAGCAAGGACTTCTGTGTATTGTCCAGGAAAGCGTGAGGAAGGCTTTTGGCAGAGGAGGAAAGAAGTGACTGTGTCATGTTTAGTGTCCTGTCTCCTGATCTGTTTTCTTGGCTGTCACAGGAAAGCATCACCCAGCAAGTGAGATGCAGCACGTGATGGAGTCTGAGAAGGTGGCGAAAATCCCAGCGGTACATGAGCATGGCCACGACCATTCCAGATTGCACGCCTACATTGGTGTGTCCCTTGTCCTTGGCTTTGTCTTCATGCTGTTGGTGGATCAGATAGGCAGCTCTCATGTGCACACTACAGATGGTAGGTAAAGATTCTCTTCAATTAGACTTGGTAATTAGTCTTAATTAACAAGTTGCAATTTTTTTTTTTATGCTACCAGGATGTAATTTATCCAGTCACGTCCAGAGTTTTAGTAGGTACTTTAAAAACATAAACCAAGGTCCATGTGAAATGTTTATGCTGGAAATTTATCTCCAAATCCACCATAATTTGAGAGCTTGCCTCAATAGCATGTATGAGCACGTGTGGTGTGGGGGTACCCACACATACTTGATACTTGAGTTATTGTCTGTTTTACAGTATCTCCCATAGGGGATTTCTTTGGCTTTCCAAAAAACTTCAGGTTAATCTTATATTTATTTATTTTCCTACCTAATTGTCATTTTATGTAGGTAAAATTTGCAAAGAATAGCATCTTAAGTAAGATAGCAGAAATGGTTAGGTGTAAGCTCTGATACTTCAACTGCATAGCTGGACCTCCCACACTTGTTCTAGAGCCTCACATATTTCAAAATACGTTTTGCTTTGTGCAAAGATTTGTCAGTTTCTTGCAAGATTCTAAAAATGCCTACAATTGCTTTTGTTTCCTGCCTGTGACTTCATGCTGAGAGTGTAGCTTGAAATGCACCAGAGGTGTTCTGTCATATGAAAAGGTATTTTATTGCCTTTGGCTGCTCATTTTCTCCCACACAACATCCTCTGATGCTGGAATTTGGCCCTGAAAAAAGAAGGAATTGATCTTAAAGGAAAAGTAAAATACCCACAAGGGCAGGGGCATATGTTTGGGCTGGATTCCTGTCAGTTCACAGTGCAGCTTATTTTGTATGGAGTTACTGTGGTGGGACAGGTGCAAGGCCAGTGCGGGGGCTATGTCACCTGTGTACTCCTGAAGAAGTGTAAATGGAGCCACAGCCATGGTAGCTGATTTTCAGAGTAAAGAAACACTGGCAGTGAGGATGTCAGGGAGATGCAGGTGAGCAACTTTCGAAAGGATCCTTGGTTTGTATAGGTTATGACCCTTTTCTATGTCTCTGATCATAGGAAATACCAGGAGAGCACTGTGATCTGTGTTAGAGATACACACTATAAAATAAAATATTAAGTAAAGTTTTATCTAGCCTCTGCCCTGTCACAGAAGATGTAGCAGTATTTTTGTAATGTTTTTCAAAGCAACTGAAGAAAAACACTTTTCTCTGGAACCTATGTCTTGTAGTTTATTATCTACTGACTAGATGTTACTTTGTCTGAACTAGAAAAATTCAGTAGGCCGGAATGAAGGTATGAAGTCGAATGTGATTATTTGTATTTAGTAAGGGTCAATCCAAAACAATTGTAAAGAAAACGTTTTTTGTGAGTATCTCCTCCTGTTTGACATGAGTATATCATTGCTGTCAGGCAAGTGCAGCTTGTGCTAGTAATTTCTCACGTGGTTTCCCCTTCATTCAGAGGATCAAGCTGACTAAAGAGCATGCATTAGTTTAGATCTGACTCATTGGGAAGCTACATGTGTGCCTGGGAATGAAAAGACTGCGGGGTAAGAGGGCAGGCAGGGGGAAAGAAAAGGACTGGAATTTCTGTTTCACTGCTTTTCAGCATCACTGCAGTGTAGCAGTGAAGCAGTGTAGGTGTGCTTACAGTTGTTTTACAGACCACTGGGATAATTCAGTCATGGCTGTTCAAACTGTCTGGAATTAAGCAGTTGAATAATAAGACGTTTCTACACTTGTGTAGAGCTTACCCACCGTGCAGTGATTCTTTGTAACAGTTTTACCACTGATTGTGTAGTGGTGGATATTGATGTTGCCCTGTTGTGTTGTGTAATGAGCTGACCTGCAAATGTCAGGCAATTTTGGTCAAAACACTGGATCTCAAACAGCCCTGGCTGCATTTCTCCTTTATGGTTTATAAGGTCAAAGGGAGCTCTTTGCAACTGGTGCTGTGACAAGTAGACTTTATTGTTTACTGGGGTCTGCCAGGGAATCACTGCAACAAAAACTGACCCAGACTGTCACCTGAAGGAAACTACGAACATTGAGTTGTGTGAGGAAAAAAATCATCCTGACTCTTGAAGCATCTCTGGATTCTTGGGAACCAAAAATAGCTTTTCTTTTTCCTGGGGGCACAGACCTTTAACATTTCATTTTAGGAGGTTAAGGAAAACATCTCTTCTGCCTATGAGAGAGATCCTGCAAATTGAAAAGAATTGTCTATGAGTCTTTTTTTGGCAGAACTGCAGGTGATTTGAAGGTATTAAGTGTCAAACTATTTTACAGTAAATCTAATGCAGAAATACAGAAGCTGGTAGTTTTGAGTACAACTGCCTAAGCAGCTGGGGGAGATATGTAGAGTGATACTTGCAATTTATTTTACAGCACAATTTATTCATTTGATGTCTTTATCATAACTGTCCTCATGACTGTTTCAGATCCAGAAGCTGCAAGATCAGGCAACTCCAAAATCACCACAACACTGGGACTAGTAGTCCATGCTGCAGGTAATGTGGGACCTGTTATTAGTGCTTGACAAGTATATGCATTGCTGTGTGGGTCATCTTTAGGTGTGATGGAGACATTTGGGATTTGCTTTTGGAGGTGTTTTTTTATAAAAGAAAGAAAAAAAGCAAAAGGCCAGGAGAACTAAAGATGTTTTCCAGAACTAACTGGGAGCTCAGATGATTCATGGAGTTTTATTTGGGTAAAGAATTTTCTCTTCTTTTGTTTTTCCCATCTGAAAGGTTGTGTGATACTCACTCTCTGCCTCTTCAATTCCTTTGCTGACTCCTTTAGCTGGTAATTTTCAATACACGCTAACACGTTTGATGAGCTATATGAAACACTTTTGGGTTTGCTTGTTGGTTGATGGGTTTTTAAAAACATACTAATTTAAAATAATAGTACCTTGTAGGAAAAAAAAGGACATTATAAGGTAGAGCACAAAGACTTGACTGAAACACATTTAGGCTGACTTGCAAGGACTGACTGTTAGGTGTGTGTTACAGTCAAGCCATGTTCACATGGTGATTCTTTACTATATATGTGTAGTATAAATATGGTCATTTTTCATGTCCTGCTGAAGGTTGCTGTCTAGATAAGTCAGAAGATGTTGATCAAAAATATACTTCTTCACTAAACAAAGTGATTATATATTGAGGAGTGGTATAATATCCAGTTTTTATTTCATTTAGACAGTATATTTATTCTGAGTTGGTTGAAATGTTGAAAAACCATTTAAAGGGTAATAATTAAAATTCTTGCAATGCTTAGTATCTAAAACAAATTTTTTACTTTAGAGAGGAAGTCTCTTCTAGTACAGAAGACTGAAATAACTGAACTTGTTACTTGTTCTAATTTGAAGGAATGTGTCAATATGGAGTAGATTCCTGTTATGGTTTTTATGGTCTTGGGAAATAGGAGACAGCTCTTGTTGAGGGTTTTCTGATATTCTGAAATGTTATATCTTAACAAATAAAGGCAAAGTGAATCCTCTGTTGGGTTATTACTGTGAATGGTAATTTTTAGTAAGAGAGCTTCTTAACATGTTTTCTACTGTCAGCCTTTGAGGGGATGGGGAAGCTCATGTAGAAACATAATCCATTAATCTGCACTCCTTTTTCAGCTGATGGTGTTGCATTGGGTGCAGCAGCTTCTACTTCTCAGACTACTGTCCAGTTGATAGTGTTTGTTGCGATTATGTTACACAAGGTGAGTTACCATCAAAAAGATCCTATTTGTTCTTCCACAGACTGTTAACATTCACAGGAATTGCTAAAGATCTACAATTTCATTAGTGATGTAATGCAGAAGGGTTTAATGCCAGTGAAGCATCAAGGACCAAAATGCACAGGTATGAGACATGACAGAAGAGCACATGATTGATGCTAAGTCTGAGTGGGGTGCAAGTGAGAGAGAATTCTGACTGCCTACCCTGGTTGGAGATGTTGGGAAAAGTCTCCCAAAAGAAGAGTAGCTCATGAAGAAATCTATCAGCTTCACACTGACTTCTTCTGAAGCTAGTGTGGTAGTGTTTATTAATAAACAAAAAACCCTGGGTTATTACTGCTGTAAGAGACATCTTCAGAGGAGTTCTAAAGGGTGAGGCACTGAAGTATGTGCTAGTGCATTCAAGGAGGAAAACCAGTTTTATGCTGATTACAAGTGTCTTGGTTTTGTGATGCTCATCAGAAAATGGAGAGGATATTTGTTGTGAAGGGTTTTAAGGTTTAAAGGGTTAGTCTTTTGAAACCATGGAATATCAGAGTACTAAATTAAAGCTTCTGGTCACCTCTGTTGTAGTAGCTGCGACATCACTCATATACCATTCTTTTAGGAAAACAAATGTTTTACTGATGGTAAGAAGCAAACAGTGGCTCTTGAAGATGGGGAGATCTTTGCCGAGTACTTGTGTGAATGTGAAGCCTGTTGGTTATGTAGGCTCTACCTACCTGTCCAGATGAAATTTGCCTTATGGTAGCATGTACATGAAATACAGTGGTTAGTCATAAATTCATCAGAAATCGTGCATAATTACATGTTCAAAATGTTAGGCATGCGTATCATTTATGTCTTCGATGTTCATACAAGTAATTGTGGTTTACATAACTTTCTTTGAGGGTGGCAATGTCACTCTCTCATCTTGGAGCTTAACTTATGGCTATTGCCAGGTGAAACTTGATTTTATTGTTCTTAATGTTTTTAACTCACTTCTGGAATGGTAGCATTTTAGAGGAGGAAAATTTATCCTATTAATATTTGCTATTAGAAAAACGTGTTTTTTCTCTGGTGTCTTTTTTCTGTTCTTCTGATCCTTTTTCTGTTCTGATCCTTGTCTTTCTCATCTTTTTTACTCAAGATTTCCTTCTATTTAAAAAAAAAAAGATTCTGTGTTTAAAAACGCTTAAAGTATTTTAGTTTTGTGCCTTACCTCAGGGCGAATTGCTATTGTCTTTATACAAGCAAAAATATAATAAATTCTGAGTAGTGGGACATCTATGCCTTTTGCATAAGAGACTGCATGCCAGCAGAGGGAGAAGGAAATATTTGTTTGCCTCCTGGTGAGAATTGGAATGAACTAATCAAAATATCTCTTAAGTCTTTGTTAACTTGGAGGCTGACTGTTACCTGTCTTTGGGCAATTGTTTCCCTCCCCATGTTAATTGTAAAATTTTTCTACTGCAGATGAAGAAACTGTCTGTCTAAGGATGTGTGATAGTAAGAGGATGAAAAAAGAAATTACCTAAGTTGATGGAGTCTTAGGGATTATAGCAATGGCTATAGTCAGAATGAATATTTTAGCATTTTTAATGACTACACAAGTACGTGTTTTCTGATAGCCAGAACATGAGTTTCCATTAGATTTGGTTATTAAGGTGGGGCAGTCTGCAGAATGCTCTTGATTTGGGTCAGCTGCAGCATGCTAGTGCCTGCCCTGAATGTCTTCTCATTCAGCCCATTTCGATGTAGTAAGTAATATTCCAACCTTTTCTCTTTCTTTCAGGGGGTTTAAGAAAGTATTGTATTAGCAGTGAATATTGTTTTTTGCAGGCACCAGCTGCCTTTGGCCTGGTTTCCTTCCTGATGCACGCTGGGCTAGAACGGAATCGAATCAGAAAACACTTGCTGGTCTTTGCCTTAGCAGCACCTGTTATGTCCATGGTGACATACTTAGGGCTAAGCAAGGTAGGTCCATGGTTTTTGTTGTGCCCAAATTCTAGCTTAGTGGTGAAGTTTGGGGAAAGGACTGTGATATGAGTTTCATATTACATAATTCCAAACTGCTTGAAAATTCAGCAGAATAAAGATGAAGAAAAGTTGATGAAAAGGTAGCAATATGAATACACAGAACAAATAATAATCCATGCGTTTCCATCAGAATCAGTGACATAACTCCTTTATTGAGTTTGGCAGAGTTAATTGGTTTTTTTAAGTCTGATTTCTCTCTTTTATCTTTTCTGCTGCCCCCTACTGAGAAAAATTTATTCATATAGCAGGTTTTATGTGATGCCTGTTTAAATAAGTAGTTTTCAGCATAGTTACATGCATTCTTCTTTTAATATGCAGGTAGGAAATAATCTCCTCTAGCTTCCCCCACCATCCCAGAAGTGGTCTTCTGTATTCAAAGCTTGTGTCAGAAGCTGAGTCCTCAGCTAGAACAGTCCTTTTGCATTACTGTGTAAAGTATTGTTGTGTCTTGGGTCTATACAATAAATAGCCTGTGAAATGAGACAATGCATGAGTTTACCATCCCTTCCAAATTAGATGTTTCTGCCTCTCATAGCATATCCTGGGATGCTCCTGTATTTCTCAGCTGTGGTGTGTCCTGCTGGTGACATGCTATGGCAGCGTGTTGTAAAGGATATAATGTGATCTCATGAAATTCAAGGCATGAGAGGAAAGATTAAATAAATCATCTGGGCTAATCCTTTACTTGCTGGATAGGATTTATATTTGACATTACAGTATCAAAGACAGCAGGAAAAAAGGTTGTGTCTGTAAATAGAAAAGAGAATTCTCTTTGAGCACTCTTTTGAAGTGTCCTCATCAAGGGTTGGGTTTACATTTCTTACATTTTATTGAGAAAGAACAGAGAATTGATGAGGCATCAAGGCTGTCACAGTGGTTTTGTAGTTATGAATGATGTATCTTTCTCTTTGGAAAAATGACCTGAGAGCAAACACAAGAACTAAGATTAGACCTGAGTTGGAGAGCACTGAAGAAACATTTGAATCTGATGAGTGGGTTTGCATTTCATTGCATTTACTGATCTGTAGCATATCTTAATCTTACTATGGAGATGAAGAGGTCCTCAGTTTTGATGCAGAAGATGCATTTCTTCATGAAGTTTGCATGGAAATGCTGGAAAAGTTTTGGATGTTTACTTCTACATACAAATGAAATATTTAATGAGTGATGTTTTGGGGCTTGGCTCCGAAGAGCAGTGGAGCAAATATTTAAAGGCCAACATCTTATTTGAACCCCTTATTTAGAAAAAAGGAGAAAAAGTCAACCTTGAGCATCCTCCCTAAAATTTGTAGCTTTGCAATATGAATTTTGGGTTTTTTTCCAAACCTGTTTGGTATATTGGCTGTGAGCTGATGAAACAAGATGCTTCAGCATGCTGTGACTTTTTTCCTTTTCTGAGGGCTCTTTTTGTAAGGATTTTTTTTCTTTTGTAAGTCCCAAGTGAAGTAGCTAGCAAGAGGGTTATATTTCTGTTCCCCCACAACTTCACGGTGCCAGTTACTACATGTAAGGTGCAAGACACAAAAGATCACACTAAACCATTGTCATTGTGAGACAAGGCTTGATAGAAATCCTACTGTTCCTGGATACTGAGAGAAGTTTTTTATTACTGATTGAAGAGTTTCTGCTTATTCTCACTTTTTTTGTTCTTTGTGTTTCAGAGCAGCAAAGAAGCCCTTTCAGAAGTCAATGCCACTGGAGTTTCTTTTCTGTTTTCACAGTTCATGTTCTCCCAGAAGTAGGAGGAATTGCTCATAGCCACAAACCTGAATCAACTGGAGGAAAAGGACTCAGTCGTCTGGAGGTGGCAGCCCTAGTATTAGGATGCCTTATTCCTCTAGTTTTGTCTATTGGACACCATCACTAAACGCTCAAACTTCACTGTTCTCCTCCTCGACAAGACATGAGCAGTAACTGTCTGCTGCTCCCTTTATCATTCTTTTACCCATCATTCATCCCATCCACTTTATGGAGTTCAGAGGGAATCTTGATTGCAAAATGAGGAATACCGGGGAAGTTTTTAGTGTAGCAAAATGTACTTTGGCAGCCGGACGCAAATTCTATGTAACTTCCTTTTCTGAAGACATTTGCTCTTTTAATTGTTACTTCTGGCCCTATTCTCAGGGAAGATGGAACTTGAGGTTTAAGAGAGGTGAGCAAGGAAGAACATAGCAACTCATCATGAAATTGCAATCACCAAAGTATCCTGCAGTTCAGCTTTCACAGCTGAGAGCAAACCCCAAGGATAGCTGCGTTGTGAAGGGTTGAAGTCTCACTAATGAAGAAGGGGTCTCTCCCCCATCGGTTCTGCGTTGTCCATTGGCAATGACTGGCCCTTGTGATGCTTGTCACTAAGTGTATTGTAGAAATGGGCAACCCTGGGAGCTCTGCATAACATGGCTATTGTCACAGAAGTGTCACTTGATAGGAAAGAAATTATGTAGACAATGTGTAGGATTAGAGGAAGAAATCAGCTGGTTAAGAAAGTGCAAATGAGTCTTGCAGTGTATTCCATTGTTTAAGACAAAGGATAGAAGCAAGGAGAATAGTGTTTTGATTGGTTTTTCAATTGTTAATAAATTCTTAAAAGGCACTGTTTCTTGGGAGATAGTCTTCTGCCAAGTCACTCAAGTGTTAAGCGCCAAAAATGTCGGCAGGAATTATGTATTGGCTACTGTGATACACTACTGCTTCTGTTGAGAGAGATACCCCTAGTTCCCTTTGAAATAGAGCTGTTCTGGGCTCTGAGGAGTAGAAATCTGATGGAGACAGCTGTTGAGGGACCAGAGAACTTTACTAGCTCATTTTCAAAAACCTGAACTGCTGAAATCAGTGGAGAGCTGTGTGGGTTTTTCTACTAAATAAAGGTATTATGGCTAACAAAACAAGATGTTAACTAATAAATATTTAGTTAAATATTTATGATGCAGGTAGAATGTGAAGTGTTTCTAAAGCAGTTCTGAACAAAAAACTCTAAAACCCACAAATAAAAAACCAAACTGCTGGGTTCCCGGTGGACCTGTTAGACATACTGCTTTTCCTTTGGGAATTGTTCATTTGCCTCTTACTGATAAGCGTTAGTTTCGGTGATCCTGCCGGAGGACTTTGTGTCAATTGCTGATGTCTCTCACTGCAGAGGAGTGGTAAAAGATCCCTCCATTTTCAAGGCAAAGCTTTGTCTTATCAGGCACCATTTCCCTCATGCAAAACATGTTGTAATCTAATGTGCGTTGAAAAGTCAGGAATGCTTGACATGCTCAGAATCATCATAAAATTCTTTATTTAGGGGAAAACTTCTTAATGCTGTACCCTTTTTAAGCTATACTTTGTCTGCACTTTTTGAAGATAACATTGCCAAATAAACTTTTCTTTTTCTTTTTTTGTTTTTTTCAATGAATTTTGAAGAAATATCTTCTTAACTGAAGTGCTTCTTGTTTCCATATGAATGAGGGCGACTGTTTGTCATACCATTTATTACTTAAACTGCAGAGCCTACTGTGCCTCATAACTTTACATTTTTGTTATTGTCCTGTTTGTCTGTTAGATCAGAGGGTAATGGGTATGGCCTGGCTCTTGAACTAGTGATGGCTTTGTCTGCTGGCTCTGTAACAATACTCATGTATCCCAGGATTGAACCTAGTATTGATTCCCAGGAGTGCTTGTTCATTTATGTGTTTTACTATGTAAAATCAATGCAAAATTATTAGAAGTCGTGTTTTCCCTTAAGACAGTATTTTCAGATACAATGAGTGCTTCTGGCCTAAAGAATCATTTTTTTCATATTAGACCTTCAACATTGTGTTCTGAAAAGCCACTGCAAAATTAGTGGTGTGGATAGGATCCTCTCCTGTGTCTTTTTCAATTTTTTTTTTTTTTTTTGTCTGTTTGTTTTGGGTTTTTTACAACATATATAATGCAACTGGTAAGTTACTGGTTTAAAAAGTTCAGCAGGGCAGGTTCCTAACACGTGCAAATGATACACAGGGATGTTTACTCCAGAGTTCTGTTCTTCCTGATTTCCCCCTAATTACCTTCTTCCTTGATAATCTCACTATTTTACCAGTTTTAATCTTTCCACATAACCATTTCTAAAAGCTGGAGGGTTTGCAAGAGCAGGAGATAGCCTAGTGCAGCACTAGATGCTTGCATTTCCTAAAGCAGTAAGTTTTTATTCTTTAACCTCTGTCCTGTCACTCAAATGTGCACCCCACCCTGACCGAATTGCCCTTCAGCCTCACTTTGTGTATAACATTAGCAGTGGTTCACAGAGGTAAGGTCCCGTGTCATGCATTTTGTTCCCAGCTGAGGAAGGTGGATAGTACATTTTCACATGGATTGGTGTGTATTGGTGAGGATGTGGCAGCCAGGCTTTTCACTGCTGGCATAACCTCTGGTATATTAATCACAGGTGCCACTGCTGAGGGGTCTTGTCATCTTTCCATTTTCCTGTCTTTCACATTATGTTTCCAGTTTCTGGGGCAGCCATCAGAAATAGTAATACTCAGTTTAATGATTCATAAAATATAGAGGCCAAGGTATAGCAGTAGGTGAGGGAATTTGAATGAAAACATTGGCAACTTAAAACTGACACAGAAATTCTAAAAACATACATTGTGGCATTTGGTTAAGTGATAGAAGACTTCAGTGAATTTATTTTTTGTTCTACTCATTTAGAAGTAGCAATAGCATTTTGTTTTGGCTGCCTGTTATCTCTGTTGAACTATTATTTTCAATTCTGTAACTGAAAGTTCAGTGACTAAAGAAGCTTTTGGTTATGTTGATATGGAGAATGTAAAATTTAATATTATCAAACCTTTCCAAATTTTTAGTACCAAATGGAGGATTATTTTCTTGATGCAAAGTATTTTAATGAGTTAAATTAAATGGTCCATTTTATTATAGCCCTTTCTTTCTACCTATCTCCCCATCTGTCACAGTAAACCCAAGTGTTGCGTATAGTCAGGGCCATCTGGTATCATTTTCTACTCCTCAGGAGACCTTGGTGCAAACAAATTCCTCTTACTCTGTAGTAGCCTTTCTTCTTGTTTTTTCTTCTGTGAGGTAGGTGGCAGTAGGTCTAGCAGGTAAATGCTTAAACCAAGTACCAGCCACATCTCACTTTCCTTCTGTAAGTCCTAGGAAGTCCATAATCTTCTCATCACCTGTTTCTTTTCAGTTAATGATTTCCTAATTGGCAATAAGAATTGGACTAAAGCTGTTTCTGTTGATCCTCATGTCTTCAGGCACTTCCCCTACTGTTCTAATGCTTTTATTGTTCCTTATATAAAGAAGGGAAATATTTCTTTTTCAGCACTCAGTGACAGAGGCAGAAGCTGCACTGACATTTACTTAAGTAAGGATGGCAGACCTGTCACACCAAGACTGGATTTTTGATTGTTTTGGCTTGTCAGATGACTGGGTGTTAAACACAGAAACTTACTATTGACTCCAAAGAACTATTTCCAGGTGGATTATGTAAAGGCTAATCTTACCCAAGAGGCCCAGGAAAACCTGTGTTTATTCAGGAACTAATTCAGAGCTTTCAAGGAGCTTTTCACAGTAGCAGGTGTGTCCATGTGGTATCAGCTGATTGCAGAAAAGAGAGATGATGTGGAATAAATGTTACTCCTGCTCCCTTCCCCTTCTGTGCTGGCACTTGGGATAAAGAGAAGGAAAGTGTACTTGTATTCTTTTGAGGGTGGAAGGAGGAGTGATTGCAGTATGGCGGGAAAGTTTATGATGAATATCGTATTCTTTATCACAAATTTCAGATTCCTGCTCACATCAGACTTCTTTTTAAAATATTTTTTTTTCCTTACTGTTCTTATATCTCTTAGCAGCCTTGGCTTTCCAGGGAAAAAAGTTGTGTGGTCATTGCTGTTTACCTGACTCCATGTATGGAACTGTAATTTTAATGTCTTTTTTCCAAACCATTTGTACACAAAATCATTCCATGAATGGCTGCCTTATAATTTTTCCACTTTAATTGTGAATGGTTAAAATAATATTGCCGTTTTCAATTTGTTTTATTATATTAAATTTTTACTAGGTGCAGCGCTTTGGAGTTGGCTTGTCATTTACTGCATGGGTTTTTGTGACAGCTCTTATGGAAAGAAATTATTGTCTTAAATGGGATGCAAGCGTTGGAGACAGTGTTTTATTTTTGTGGGAGTGTGTTTGCTGCTTTTCTTCATGATATCTGAGCACCTGGAATGTGAAACTTCATGTTGGGAGGCAGGTGGATTTGGATATGACTCTGAATGTGTTCAGAGGTATTAATACAGAGATGATGTGACAGCTCTGCTTGAGCAGGGCATTTGGCAACTTGTGTCTCTCACAGAGCCTTTAGGAGTTGGCATTGCCCTGGAGCTATCTCCTCCCGCACCCCAGGGAAATATCTGGAGCTTACAAGGCTGAGAGACCTCTTTGGAGGGCAACAATGAGATGATGGGCTTAAGGTTGCTCCGGGCCACTGTTAAAAGGCTTGAGGACCCTTTGGAGCTAAAGGAAATAATCTTTTTTCTGTCCTTTCAGTCTTGTCAGTTCTAAACCAAAAATGCAAATGCTAAGTCTGGCTCCATCCCCTTTGCACCCTTCTCTCAAGGATTTGTATACATTGATGAGACTCCTCTTAGATCTGCTGAGCTGACACAGTGTATAGATGTTCTCCATGCTTTCCAGTTGCCCTGTAAGCATGGCTGGGGTTTAAACCTGCATTTTCAGAAAAGAGAAGGGGGAATGGTACTCTTATAGGATGAGTGATTTATGCATTTGCAAACTTCATGCATTCATTTAAGAGATAGCACTTGATGGAGATGACTCATAAGCAATTCATTTAAAAAATGGATTTATGTTTTTCTGCTGCACTTACTGTCTACAGACTTATCTAAGATCCTGTCACACAGTGCTTTAGTTCTTTCGCTTCAGCAATAAGCAATCCTCTCAGCTGGTTGCTTGCTTTTGATTTTTCTGGTAGCTCATAGGACTTGTGTCATTAAGAAAGTGTAATCTCTTTATACTGGCTTAAGCACAAGAGAATATGATTAATGTTAAGTCAGTAGGAGAACTGAAGCGAATGACAGAGGTGGTGTTAAAGCTGGTACAAACAAATGTAAAGCAGTAAGAAGAGAAAACCAGTGGTTTTCCCAGACAGACTCTTGTTTTTTGGCAAGTAAAACTCAGTTTTAATGGTATAGCATTATGCAGTATATAGCATTCTTTTAGTGTATTTAGTAAATGTATCATCTCAGTAACTGGAGATTTAATCACTGTGGTAAATCCTTTTGGAGACGTGAGGAAGTGCTTTGGGTCCATTTATGTTACAAGAGTTACTACTACAGACTTAAATATTTAGAAGTTGTGGTGTTGCAGGCTTCCTGATGATTGCTGTAGAGTATTCCTTCATTTGTTAAGGAAATAAAAATGTACATCAGCATTTTTGTGAGCGACTCATTAGGGATGAGCACAGCAGCAAGATGATAAGCTGTCATCTATTGTTCCAGCTGACAAATTAAGCCATTTTTCTACTGATACATGCAAGCCTTATCCAAATATCCCTGTAGGCAGAATTGCACAACATTCTACCCTCCTAATCACAGCACTTCTCCCTCTTGTCTGTGCTATTGAGAGATTAACTGTGGATGGGGGTTAAAGAAAAATGCCTCATTCAGAAAAACTTGTAGATCTAATAAAAATTAAGCTGTATCATGCTGACACCAAAGCTGCATAGTATTGGGAAAATCTAAAAGCAGATTGAAATTATTAGGAGGAAAATGTTTATTCTGTATCTGTATGCCTAGCCAGTATCTGAAGTGGTAATTAACTTATGATACATGATTATAATTATGTTGGAGTCTGTGGAGGTTATTTGGCTTCTGCTGCCTGAAGGAACACTTTCAATGAGATACTGGTTATACAGTGTTGAAGAGGCCTGCTAAAAACCCTGCTTACAAGCCTTACTAGTACTCTGGGTGAGTCTTACTATTGTACCACTTACTCAAGTGTTTCTTGCCCTCACAGGGTGATGCTAGCAGTAGAATGAGTTT